ACCAAGATAAAGCAAGACCTGTGCAACAAGAGTTGTAGCTTTTGGATCTGATAAGGTCAGTCAAATCCCCTCAGGATTTATCCCGAGATTCTATACCTCAGATTGTTGAACCTTTGTCAGTGGCAGCCATGTGGATGAGTCACAACCATTGCTTGGCCAATGTGCTCCCCGTGAAAGCCTGAGAGAATGTTTTCTCTCCATGTGACTCTCCTTAGGCACACTCTACATCATTGATCACTTTCCTCTTTGGCGCCATAATCTCCTTCATCAGAAAATTTTATTCCTTAGATTTATTAATGTTTAAATGATAATCTTTTCAATGTATTAGGATAAGTAAATTATGTTTACTTGTTCCTTTTCCCTTTTTAATGTGACTATTAGAAATAAATGTTTATGACTGATAACAGGACAATCATAACTATAAAAAACCATGGAGAAAAATGACTGAGAAAAAACATAAAAGTATTTTGTTTTATTTTGAATGTTTCTTTTCCTATTTTGACCCTTTGTAAAGTTCTTATAATTTTCTTTAATGAACATTTATTACTTTAATGAAATATTTATTTTGAAAATTCTAGTTTTTTTTTTTTTTTTTTTTTGCAGAACCAGGGATTGAACTCAGGCCCTTGCACTTGCCAGGGAAGCGCTTATTCCACTGAGCCATCTCCCCAGCCCCTTTTTAATCTTTTTGAGACAGGGTTTCAATATGCAGTTCAGATGGGCCTCGAACTCAATTTGTAGCCCAGGCTGGCCTCAAACTCACAGCAATCCTCCTGCTCAGCCTTCTGAGTGCAAGTGCTGGGATTATAGATGTGCAGCATCACACCCGGTTAAAATTCTAGGTTTTTTGGTACCTAGAATGGAACTTAGGACCTTGTGCTTGCCAGATGCCACTGAGCTATATCCCTGGCCCTAAAATTCTAATTTTTAAAGTTTTCTGTTTAATCAAGCAGTAAATTCCCTAAGGCAGTAAATTCTGTACCATGTGTGCTAGTCATCCAGTCTATGGCTCCAGGTAAAGAGCTCTGGCTTCCACTTCTAAGGCAGCATTTTATCTATGTTGGGTAAAAGTTATAGATACCATATAACAGATCACCTTCATATTGGGACTATGGATTTTTAAGCTGTGTTATTAAACAGTTTTCAACATTTTGTAACAATCTATCATGCCAAAAACATAATTACTCATCTTCTTCCTAACACATGAAGTTTAGAATTAGCAGTCAAGAAGCAGTTAGTCTCAATAAAATATGGCTCATCTGCCAAAAAAACCTCAAATGTCCTGGTTATTTATGTTCCTGTTTCCATTTCACACTATCTTCCAAGCTGAAAGAATGAGACTTAAATCTCTGGGCTCCTTGCTTACAGGTCTCACATCTCAACATCATCTGTGTATACACTGGGTATCTTACCATTTTTGATTAACCAATGTCAATTCTATCATGATTCATAAGTGACTGTAAACAATTTTTGGGTTGTAATGCGTTTATTTTTGGGGGGTGGATATTAACTCTGATTCATTTTCTAACTTAAAATAAAGGCAGAGAATGTTAGTGAGTATCATCTCATTGATAAAACTGTGATCCAGAGAGGCTGACTGACTTGTCTTGATTAAAATTTATTATGGTTACAGCTCAGCCTAGGCCTTATGTTTCCTGACCCTTTATTCATTCTCCTGCCATATACTGTAGAATCTTTTACTATACCAAATTCACTCCTACAGATTACTTCCAAACTACAGAAATTTCAAATTTGAAATCTCTTGATATATGACTCCATGAATGTAAAAATAATTACCTCAAAAAATACATGCTATTTACATAAAATGACTATTTTGCTTCCTTTAATAATTTATTTTGTGGTTCCAGGGATTAAACCCAGGGTAATGTACAAGCTTAGGAAGTGCTCTACCACTGAGCTATGTCCCCAATCTGAAAATTTTGTTTCCTTCAGTAAAATTTAATAAAAGCTACAAAGTTTAAGGGATGCTCAGGAAAATATACATAATTAAGATTCTTTATACAGGCTGGGGAAATAGTTGAGTAGAATAAGCACCTACTTGGTAAACACAGGGTCCTGAATTCAATTCCCAGTACCACAAAAAAACCCCAACCAACCAACCAAACAAACAAACAAAAAAAAACCCCACCTTTATACAAATTGCTTATCTGAATACAGAAAGGCAACTCAATACAGTGAGTTTTATGTTCTTTAAAACCAGATGCAGTGGCATGTGCCTATAATCCCAGCACTTGGGAGGGTGAGGCAGGAGGTTCACTGTGAGCATGAGGCCAGCCCAGGGTGCACTGTGAGTTCAAAATCAGCTTAAACCACATAGTGAGACCTTGTCTCAAAAAAACCAAAAAAAATAAAAATAAACTTTGTAGCCAAGCCAGTGTCATTGTTTCTTTCTTCTACAGGACTTTTAATTAGAATTTATTAAAATCAAATCAACAAAGCTCAACTAGGTACTACTATCCCATCACGGGAAAATACTATCAGCTCCTCCCAAACAGGGTTGTAAATTAAAACAGGAATTATTAAAAATCTTAATTAGTTGGATCACATAGTTGAATATGGTCTAGATTTCAACTTCAGAAGGACAGTAACATTTTGAAGTAATTATTTGATTTAGAGTACTCAAACTTTTCAAATATTGCTAAATGAACTTTAGGTTCTATTTCCAATTATATCAACCAACCTAGTATTTAATATATGGACTGCTGAGTTCTGATTTGTAAAATTCATTAAGCACTACTTTATAGAAAAAGCAAGTAAGCACAATCAAGAATACATGCTTCGGGGCTGGGGAGATGGCTCAGCGGAATAAGTGCTTCCCTGGCAAGCACAGGGCCTGAGTTCAATCCCCGGTTCCACAAAAAAAAAGAATACATGCTTCACTGGAAGATACAATTAAATATTAAGACCTACAGTAGTGTCCTTCCCAAAACTTCCCATTATAGAACGGAAGAAAGGAAAGGGGGGGTGGGGAGATGGCTCAGTGGATAAGCACTTCCTTGGCAAGCACAAGGGCCTGAGTTCAATCCCCGGTTCTGCCAAAAAAAAAAAAAAAAAAAAAGGTATTTAGAAAATGTTTAAAAAAAAATTCAATGAATAAAGTTTAGTATTACTAGAAAAAAAAAAGAAAGGAGGGAAAGAGGAAAAAAGAACATGATACTTATTTTAAAATTTGGAGATTTATAATACTAAGAAAAAGTCACCTGAAAAACAGACTCCTTATCAAAACAGACTAAATTACAATTGTCTAACCCAAACCCTAAGCAACTGAAGTCCAACAAAGTCTTTGCCCCATTAAAATATGGGCTTATTTACATAGAACAGAAACTACTGAATAAAACAAGAAACAAGAATATATAAAGTTCAGTAATAATACCATTTGAAATAATTTCAAGAGGAAATGACATGATAGAATGTCTTTGGCAAACACCTACCAAGGTTCCTGCCATATGTTAGCACTGGTCTGATCCCAAGTCTTTTTATTCAAGGAAGCTGCTTTCTAGTACATATGTTAAAGACAGCTGGTTCTCTTACATCTAGTTATGCTAATCAAATAGCTTAGCCATATAGTTTCAAATTACAAAACATAGTTTAATGTGTACTTAATCTATATTTTCTCTTTAATGATGTGTATTACTCTAAATAATTTGAGTCTAAGGATTTATCCACCTGAATGAGTCTTTCAACATACTGACAGATGCTTCTTGCTCTGGATAATTCTCGAAAGGCTGTCAAAAAGTTGTACATGGCAAAGTCAAAAACACAGGGTTGGAGAGTTCCAGAAGCAATTCAGATGGTGGAAGAGGCCGCGATCCAAGCCTAGAAAGTCATGCTTCAACAATGCAAGTGATTTACCAATCAAGAAACTAAATGGTTTTTACAATATAATTCTTTCTTCGGTCCAGAAACAGAATGCAGTGAAAGAAAAAGGAAAAAAAAAAAAAGATCACTGGTTTGGAGAAACTAGAGGTACAGACAAGTAGCATGACACTGTCAAAGTAACCTTCCCCAAACTAGCAGACTGTTCTTTTTGCTCCAATAAGCCTGACAATATCCAAAACAGATTTCTTTTCTTTTTCTTTTTTTTTTTTGCGGAGCCAGGGATTGAACTCAGGCCCTTGTGCTTGCCAGGCATGCGCTCATTCTACTGAGCCACCTCCCTGGCCCCTTCTTTTGTTTTTAACCACAGAAGTTAATCTGTATATGAGAAACAGGCATTTAATTCATTGTAGGAAGTAGTTTTAGAGTTGACCTATTAATATACAACTTTAGAAAAGAGTTCTGTGAAGTTTGGCTATTTCCTTCATAGTTTACACCGTAAAATCATATTTCTTACCCTGACAACTTGCCGAGTACTTGTAATGAAGGCTTTTCTTATACTTAATTCAGTTGCATCAAGGTTGAATTTTCTAGGATTTGCTTCAACTATGCGTGGATCAAGGAGTCAAGGTAAAGCAATCTCAGCATCAAAAGCTTAACTAACCTTGTTAAACCACAGAGTCACTCACATGCAAGCAATGTAATCTGGCCACAACTTTCTGAAAACAATCAACTTGACATGAAACATTCTCCAACTTTCTTGCCCATGATCATCTCTGCCTCAACACAAAAATGAGAAACAGCCCCTGCCGACTGAGCTCACTTCAACTCCATGACTGGCTGATAGCTGAGCAGGAGGCTTAGTGTTTACTAACACTTTCATTTGTCCTTCTCTGACTTCTCCCAGGGACGGCTTTTATAAGCCTTTTTCAATGCCAAACCAAAGGACTTCCTCTTATATCAAGACACTAATCTTTTTTTTTTTTTTTTTTGAGGTACTAAAGATCGAACCTAGTTATGATTTAGTTACTGACCTACCAGTAGATATTTGGTATATCCCTATATCTGTTTTTGATCCTGTCCTCCTATGTATTTTATTTTAGAAAACATTTTTAACTTTCAATAATTTAAAAGGCACCCAGAGTCAATATAATAGAAACAACAGACTACTTATCAGCTGCTTACAAGTGAGTGATTACTACAAAAGCTAGCTTTTCTGGATGTTTTATCTCTCTCAGGGGAAAAAACAAAACAATACAAACAACTTAGACATACAAATGACATGTCTTCCACCTATATAGCTTTGGTTAAATGGTATTTTCAGTTGAAAAAAAGGTTACATAATTCAGCCTCAGCAGTTACTGGTTCATTACTTAGATTTGTGGATTTACTTAATACTAATACCTGTAATTAGCATAATAGATCTATTTTTACTAAATGTAGTTTCATGGGACAACATAATTCTCCAATGGACAGTGGCATTTTTTAAAATTTTATTTATTTATTTATTTAATTTAGAAACAAATAGCAATGAGACAGTTTCAAAAAAACATGATTTTGTTCTTTTTTTTTGTGGAACCGGTGATTGAACTCAGGCCCTCTACTGAGCTATCTTCTCAGCTTGGACAGTAGCATTTTAACATCCTTAATTAAAAAGGAAAAGTTGACAAAAGGATTTTTAAAAAATCTCTAATTAGTAATGCCTAACACTGGCCTACATGTGTATAATGATGACTGCTAATACTTTTCCTTTTCTGGTAGTGCTGAGGATAGAACCCAGGGCCTCCTGCATGTTAGGCAAGTGCTGTACCACTGAGCTATACCCCTCGTCTAACTGATAGTACTGTTATAGGCGCTTACTTCATGCTAAGCACTTACATGTATAAGCCTCTAAACCAACAGTCCTATGAGCTATCTATTCCTATTAGTCTACCTTTCTACTGAGGAGGAAACACACAAGTTTAGCAATGTGTCCCAAAACACAGTTAGGAACTGGTTATGGTACTGTAATAACCCCCACTGGACAGGGCTCAAGGAGCTTCTAGCCAGCTCAACACAGAGAAGTTCCTAGACAGCGCTGTTCCTGAAGAGGGTATGTAAGCTCCATGCCCCTTCTCCCATCCCTTGCTCTGTATAGCTCTCCCTCCTGGTGGTCTATCTATATATTCCATAATATCCTTTAAGCAATCCTCCAAACATGCAATCTTCCTTTTAGTATAAACAAGTAAATACAAGTATTTACCTCAGTCCTGTGAGTTACTCTAACACATTAGTTAAAACCAAATAGGTGAAGTGTCAGAACCTGGAGATGCCACTGTCATCTGAACCCAGGACGGTCTTGTTGGAACTGAGCCCTTAACTTGTGGGTTCTAATGCCCTCTCCACATAGTTGCAAAATTGAATTGAACTGTACCCAGCTGGTGTCTGCTACAGAAATGCTTGGTGTTTTGCCATATATGAGGTATCAAAAGCATTTTATTGAGTGTGAAAATAGAGAAAAAACTTTTCATCTTTGCATGGGTGGAGCCAGCGCTGGCACACCAGCAGGGTTCAAAGTGACAACCAGTATGCTGCCTCTCTCTGTATTACAAGATTTGTGATGTACCATAGAAGGATTGGAATAATTTACCTTTCCTTACCAGGGAACTTTTAAAAAGTGTGTCTTGGCACAAATAAGAGCAATATCAATTAATTATGGAATGAAATGTGCATCTATGTACTTGAGACAATAGATAAAAACTGTCCAACTGTCCCTTTACCCCAACAGACACCACAGAAAAGGATATTGATAGTTTCATCAAGGTCCTCCAGATCCCACTCTATGCTGCGGAGATTGTTTCTCAGCTCGTTGGTGGTCCAGTCGATCTCTTCCCGTGTTGCTGCCGAAGGGTCTTGGAGGAGCTCCGTCCATCTCTGAAACAGCCCCTGGGCAGTGTTGACTGCTTTCTGCACCTCTCTGTAACCAAGGTGGAAAGGGAAAGGGGAAATCACACTCAATAAACTCCTTGAACAAGTTACTGAACAACTTAACTACCGTTAGGATCATAGATTAACCTTAGCAGCCACAATTCCCTTGGATGTGTGGTGCGATATTAATTTAGATTCAGATGAAAAAGCTCCAATATGGCCTGTCTTTTCTTAGGACCACAATGGCAGAAAGAAGGTCATTCTTACAGAGCTTGTGTTTCTTAGGTTAAGTACAAGATATTTAAAAACTCAAAATCTTATTAGAAATTTTCCAGTGTTACTAGCTTTAAATATATCTACTTTCCTAGAGTAAGCAACTCTGTATATTAGACTAGGGGTTTTTCCTCTTTAGAATGTGAGAGTAGACCAAGAAGGGCTATGATGTAGCCTTTTTTTTTTTCTTTGTTTTTTAACAACTCTAAAACCTCTACACTATTTATTTATAATTGAGACAGGGTCTTGATAAATTGCTGAAAGGCCCAGGAAGGACTCAAATTTACAATCCTCCTGACTCAGCCTCTCAGAGTGCTAGGACTGTAGGCAAGCACTACCACACCCAGCTGAGCTAGCATATTTTTAGATCAGACAGTCACAAGGCTTTAAGAACTTCCTCTTCCAACATCATTTAAATGTTATATTCTAACAACTATTGCTAGAAAAGCCAAAGAGAAGCACTTTAGAATCATATGGGTGCTCATGCACAATGATAACAACTCCATTTTTCCCAAACTAAAAGAACTGTTTTGATCCTACAATTTTTAAACCAATTCTTTTGGAACAAACAACAAAAATGTGTTCTAGCTGATCTGGATGTTGGTTGCCTGTGGCTTTAATTTTAAGACAGAATTTACATGATCCTATTCTCTCTGACATTTCAATTACCAGGAAAGAAATGAGAAAGCACACATTAAAAAGAAGAAAAACATTTTACAACATTTATGAGGTATGATAAAAAAAAAAAAAAAGTGAATATTTAAATAAAGTTAAAAACTTTTTAGAGTAAAAGACACATTGTCATTACTCTCTCCTCAAAGTACCCCTGGCTTTAAATACATTTAGCCCATCATTCTTGCCACTTTCTGAAGCAGATATGTCTCTTGGTGTTGTTTTGGGGTGTGTGTGTGTGTGTGTGTGTGTGTGTGTGTGTGTTTGTGTGTCCTCCTTCATATCCTGGGTCAATTCAAAATGCTTACAGCAATTTCTGTCAAATAAAAACATTACATCCTGGTATGGTGGTGCATGTCCAAATCTCTGTGAGTTTGAGGCCTGCCTGGGCTGCATAGGGAATTCAAGGCTGGCCTGAACTACATAGAGATATCTTGTCTCAAAAAGTGATGTCACAATAGTGTGTCCTCATCCACCTTATTCAACTGATGAGGCACCATATGACTTCTGCCTCTTTCCCAAAGTTAAAATTTTCACAGATGATAAAAATTTTGACTTGTTTCCAGACATTACAGCAGCCACGATAGCACAACTGAAGACACTCATTAAAGAGGATGTCAGAGCTGTTTGAGAAAGTGGTCAGATGGATAGGATAAGCATGGATAAAGCAAGGGGGAGCATTCTGAGGGGATTAAATGGCAATATATTTTTTATAATACATGTAAAAAATTTTAAATGTTGACCATATTTTCTGATCATAGGCACACAGGTTCATAGCAGACTGAGAGCCAAAAGGCTGAACTTGAACAAGAGAACACAGCTAGTAGGGCTGGCCAGAATCGACCAGCAAGCACTGTGGTCCATGAGAGTATAGAGGGATGGTCACACCTAGGTTACACATTAAGCAGCTATCTCACTGCTCCTGTCACATTAGCCTTTAGACTTCCTGTGCTAGTAAGAAACTGCATTCAAGGTAAAAGGAGGAAGAAGTAAATAAGTGAGATATAAATCCACTATTTTTTATTCATGTATCTGACCAATTTGGTGGAGAAAGAAGTACATGTCTGTTATGGTTTGTGTCTAGTTGTCCCTCAAAGCCTCATGCAGTCATAGGGCAGACTTCTAGAGTTTGTGATCAACTCATGATCCACTGGGATTACCAGTGTGAGTGCTACACCGAGCATGGGGCAGATAGCCTGAATGCAACTTAAGGGAGACAGACTTGTTCTCTGTGGCCACTGCTGCTGCTGCTACTCCCATTTGTTCTTGCTCTTTGCCGTCACCATGAACTGTTGCCCTCTGCCATGTGCCAGTCTGCCTTGGAGCCAGCCAAGTATAGACTGAAATCTCCATTAACTGTGAGCTAAGTAAATGTTCCCTTCCTTCATTTTGGGTGTCGGGTATTTGTCCCAGCAACAAGAGTAATGGGGGAGGGGGAGACAGAGACAGAGACAGAGACAGAGACAGAGACAGAGACACAGACACAGAGAGAGACAGAGAGAGAGACAGAGAGAGACAGAGAGAGACAGAGACAGAGACAGAGACAGAGACAGAGACAGAGACAGAGAGAGTAATGGAGACAACATCCCACAAGGCAAGAGACCTGATTTTTCTGTAAGTGCTTAATATCATCTACGATAGTGGAAGACAGAATTAAAGAAAAATCTGTAGTGATTTTTTTGAGACAGGTTCTCACTGTGTAGTTAAGACAGCCCTGGAGCTTGCTGTGTAGTCCACACTGGCCCTGAACTCATGGCAATCCTCCTGCCTCAGCCTCCTAAGTGCTAGGATTATAGGTGTGTGCCACCATACCTAGCTATAATTATACCATATAGGTATTTCTCAATGCAGTTAAGTAAATTACATTCTTTTTTAAGAACTAGAATTGTCAGGCTGGGGATATAGCTCAACGGCACAAGCATCTGCCTGGCAAGTACAAGGTCCTGAGTTCAATTCCTAATACAAAAATAAAGAAATAGAACAGTCTAAGTCAAATGAAGAAATATGGCTAGGGCATATTATATTCTCTAGCACCAATCTACAACGATAATATTGGAATTAAATTCTATGCAGCACGCTGTAATCCTGTTTCCTCTCAGGACTCCTTCATATTCTTCAAAATTATTGGATTTTACCTACTGCTACTTAGCATAGCAGAAATTCAAACACACTTAAAACATTTATTAATTAAAAGTGAATGTATATGTTCTATAAAATCTAAATTTTTAAAACAAAATTTAGTGAGAAAAATGTCACTTTTATATTTTTAGAAATTTCATTACCTGCTAGCTGGATCCCTATGCCTCCTGCATTCTGTCTGTTGATGTACATGTCACTTGAAGCCCATGATGAGAGCATAGCCTCACACAGACACTGAGGTAGAACACGAAGGAGACTTCGTCTTTGAACATAATTATGGGTGTGGGGACAGTTTACCAGAGCTTGACACATGGCAGTTTTTTGTCTTTTTTTGTTGTTGAAGTTTATTTTTTGTTTTGGGCGCTGAAGACCAAACCCAGGACTCCAGCCTGCTAGGCAAGTGTTCTACTGCTGAGCTAAATCCCCAGCCCCAGCAGTTTCTTGAAGGCTGGCTGCAACATATCATATGAAACTTCATAAAGAACTTTTGAATTCTCATAGCTTATACTTTATTGGTCTATCCTGAACTTTAAAGGAATCTTTTCTAGCCATGGATAACTTTATATAAGACATCATATACTGGTCAATTGGAAAGTGTTGGTTTACTGAGTACCACAGACTTTCAAATGCCAACGCATACAATATTCAAAATCCTATTTGTTACTGTTTCTACCAATCTCATCAGAAGAACTTTAAGTACTGGGAATCTTAAGTACTGAAATCACAGTAGCTGACATAAACTTCCTCAAATTCTTTCTCTTTCTTTCCTTCTTTCTTCCTTCCTGCCTTTCAGCTCTAATTTTACCATTAGTAAAAACACTATTAGTTGTCTCTCATGAAGTCGCAAGTTCACCTCATTCATTTTTGAGAAAATATCTCAGGAATTTGTACTTAATGCTGAAATTTAAGGAGATGTGCAATTTGAGTAACCACTTTGTCAGTCATTGTGTCAAGTAAAAATGAGATTCTGTTGAGTGGGGAGAGAGCTATTTCAGTTCACAATTTAACTAGAGAACTGTTTTTCCTAGAGATAACTATCTTATTTCACAATACAGCAAAAAAATATTTTATGCATATCTCCACTTTATCAAATAGTATTAAAATGTATATAAGGGAGAAAATGTTTGCAAATTACATATCATACTCAGAATACATTGTTAAAGACTTAAGAAAACAAATCCAATTTAAAAATGGGCTAAATATTTGAACAGTCACTTCATCAAATGCACAGATGTGACAAATAAGCAGCTGAAGATGCCCCATATAGTCATTAAGAAAAAACAAATTACATCCTCAGGGAGATACCAGTACATATTCAGGATGGCTTAAACAAAACAAAAACAGGAGGTTGCTGGGTGGGCACTATGGCAGGGATCACCACCATCGAGGCGGTGAAGCGCAAGA